CTCGATTTTTGCCTTAGCTCATCTCGTCTCTCTCTCTCTCTCTCTCTCTGCACGATCAGATCTCAAAATTAATTCGGATCGAATCCACGAATTGATCAAATATGACTCTTGGCTCTGGAGGATCGAGTGTTGTTGGTAAATAATTTCGTTTCTCTCTTCGTTTTTTGTTTTTTTTTCTAGGGTTTTGGAATCCGTATTGGGTTTTATTTCGATTGATAATATTTTTTTCTAGGGTTTTGGGAATTCGTATTGGGCTTTTATTCATTTTGATCGATGGGTGTCGAGATGTTCTCATAGGTTTCATCGATCTATTGCCTTGCTCGATAATTTGATCGTTTTTTGTATATTTATGCTCATCTCTCTGTTTAAAACTCATCTTGTATGTTCGTATGTAGTTTGAGCATCTATAATTTCTAACAAATCGCTGAGAATGATTTTTCCGATGTTCCCAATTCTTGACATGGTTTTTTTTCTTCTTTAGAACAAGATAATGGTTGAAAATCGATTCGTCATTCCAAAATCAGAGATTTTGGCTGGTGTTACTATTTTCGTGTTCGATTGCTTCCAGGACCTTAGAACATAGCAAGTCTTCATCTTTCTTGAACTTTGTTGGGAGATTCTTATAAGTTATCTTGCTGAATTTTGAGGATAATGATTGATCTGATGATTTTCTTTTTAGTAGAAAGATTCCTGTTTATGCAACTCTGCTGTTTGATTTCTTGTTTCAACTAATGAAATTTTTGTTATGACGATATAGTTCCGAGGAATTTCCGGTTGCTGGAGGAGCTTGAACGTGGGGAGAAAGGTATCGGAGATGGAACTGTGAGCTATGGAATGGACGATGGAGATGACATCTATATGCGCTCTTGGACTGGCACCATCATCGGTCCTCACAACGTAGTTATATCTTTTGCTTTTATCTGCTACAATTTCTCCTTCGTCTTCATATAAGTTAGTGATTGTTTTAAGAATACAGAGAATCAAAGACCACATTGTGTTCTAGGCATCAAACCAATCTCTTGAGCTTTTTTTTACAGCAGTTTAGGTCATTGTTGTTTCTTTTTGTCTGTACTAACAGATATGAATCATGTCGCAGACTGTTCATGAAGGTAGAATCTATCAGTTGAAGCTCTTCTGTGACAAAGATTACCCTGAGAAACCTCCGACTGTACGGTTCCACTCACGTGTCAACATGACATGTGTCAACCATGAAACGGGAGTGGTAAGCATAAGAATCACGAACCTGCCTTTCTGTCTCTGACTTGTTCCTTTGAAAATGCTCTGTAACTTGTTTCTGCATATGCATCATATATATAGGTGGAACCTAAGAAATTCGGGCTACTTTCGAACTGGCAAAGGGAGTACACAATGGAGGATATACTGACACAGCTGAAGAAAGAAATGGCTGCGTCGCATAACCGTAAGCTTGTTCAACCTCCAGAAGGCACTTGCTTCTAGTAGCTTCTGGAATCTTACTTCTGGTTTGCTCAAAATCTTTGCCCCTTGTAATACTTCAAAGTATTTGTATCTCGGGGTTCTCCATTGTCGTTCTTCAAGCTTTTTAAAAAAAATTTATGATAAAAAAATGGTCTATGTGGATGGTGATGATGATGATGTTGTTTGATTGATCATCTGAAGTTTATCCTTGTGTGCAAATTATCAAAAAAAAAACAGCGTCTTCCTCAATCCATGTGTTCAGTCTTTTGAATTTACGTGGTTTATTCAAACATTTTGTCTCGATCCTTTTATGAAATCGGCTAGATTTTATTGGTTGTTGCTATGTAATGTACTAGTGCTATTATCAACAAGAAATATCATAAAAGACTTCAGATGGATGGGTCCGATTTGAAAGAGGGTTACTTTATCTGATCAGCTTCGTGATCCTAATTTTTGTTGATTATAAACATAATTAGAGGTCCAAAAATGGTTTATCATAGACTTCTTGATGTTCCTTTATTCTTGATTTGGACACTGTCACACAATGTTTCTTTATTTATCATGCTTGACTAATCCAAATATTCCTCTAGTTATATATTACGAGTTAAAGTCAAGCTTGAGTTAATTTGTCTTGCAGCAGCTTTAACCATAAACATCTATTAGTATTCACAAATTCATCGTTTTCTAAACCACTAGAACAATATTTACAAAACTGCTTAAAAGTTGAATACAAAATACATAATAAATGGAGAAAAAGGTGGTTGAACCTAAAAAACTGTAACACCATGTTCAGAAAGCTCAATTTATTATATTGCATCGGATTTCAAGAGCAAGCATTAACACATCATATCCCCTAAGTAATTTCTCATTTTGACAAACAATCCAAAGTAACCAAGAGGAAAAGTAGAAAACAAACAACAAAATGAAAATCCCATTTCTAAACAAGAACGTATCATCTTCATTTTCTATAAAATCAAATTCATCATTATGGGCGTAGCCTTCTTGTCACCAAAACCCTAGAACCATCTTTTTCAGAGCTACCATTATCGCAAACAACCCTAATGACGTCGAAGAGGAGGAGGAGGACGAGAAGCCACTTCCTGCCATCATCTTCTCCTTCTCAGTCTCCTCCACCGTTGACATCATAGAAGAGATGCGGGAGACCGAGTCCATAGAGAATGTGATCAAAGGGATAAATCCATCAGAAAGACTCATCTTCGAACGAAAAGGAGAATCGAAATCTATACTCGAAGAGATGGGGAACAAAGATTCATGCTCTTGTCCTTGGAATCAATCCACGCTTCATCACGGCAAGAGAAGCACCAAAATGTATCGTGAAGTCGACTAATTAAATAGATAAGTGATATATAATATATACTACTCGATAAGTCTTGAGAGAAGAAGCAAACGTTCACTTGACCTTTGTCCTTGGTTAGAAGTGTATAAGAGGAGCTGCATGCGTAGTGTGATTGATGCGCACCAAAGAGATTTTCGTAAGCTCGTCTGCTTTCTTTGATCTCCATGCGTATAATTCATGCTGATATAGCTATGGTACCTTTTTTTATATTAATCTATGTTGTAGTTGTCCCTTTATCAAATATAAAATTTTAATCTATTTTGATGTGCGCATCATTTAAAGGAAGATCGGGAAGATTTACTTTGAATTTTTATTTGATAATCCTTAGTTACTTACTTCCCATATATCAAAAATGCATTTACCTTAAACCTTATTTTATTAAAACAGAACTCAATATTGCTTCTAATGATAAGTTTGAAATATAAAAGAAAACACATAAGAATAATAATATAAAACACTATAAATTATAATTCGCTGTAGGCCATCGTAAATCTAGGCACAGAGAAGGACACGCATTTTTGTGTGTGAATCATATGCAGGCATGGAATTGACAAAGACCAAGTAATATCTCTATTATTGTGTTGATTGATGTTTTTAATAATCAACACATGACCCAATAATTTTTTGGCCAAAAAACTTTAATAATCAACGCAATGACACATGGATTCTTCTACTGAAAATTTTATATGCATGCAAATAGTAAAAACTAGTAAAAAAATTGCTTTGTATCTTTTCCAACTGCTTTATAAGATTCGGGATAACATGTTTGTGGGTGCCAAGTCAGCCACACGAGGAAATATGTGAAGGCTTTGTCTGCTTTTGTCTCTTCTCATTATTTGCTTTTCATTTTTCTTCTAACGTTATTCATTTACAACTTTAAACCTGCTTCGTACCAACACTAAACTATTTATGGTTGGACTCAAATCCACAATTTCTAAGCTAAAACTTTCTTGAACCAGATCAATCCAATTTTCTTTGAGATGCATATATGTTCGTATTCAAGCCGCCCGGGCCAGCCAAGCGGATGGCTTTAACTATTAAGGCCCTAGCATTAAAGCTGAATCCCATTGGGGTTATTAATGTTTGTGAAATGTTTCAGTTGAAACGACTGCTACAAAAACTTAAATTTCTTTTTTAACATCGACGTCATATCTTTTGAATCTTTGATAGTTAGTTGGTTCCTTCGACTGTTCGTTGAGTTTTTGTTTTTCCCTTTTTTTTTTTTTAATTCAATGGTGCTCTCTATAAGTGTGGAATACATACACATGACTATATACATGTAAAATAAATGCAACGTCTTCGATATTGTAAATTTGTCGTCTGTTTTAATAAATAATGATAATATTATGATCATGATGGATATTCTCGACAGGTAAAGCTATCAAGTTCAACTAATTATTCTGGTGATATTGCAGAATTAGTTTATTTCCGAGATCGTTTCTATGATTCCATCTATACTTAAATAATATTTGTCTGTCAAGCTTTGAAGGAAAGTTTAAACAAACACACTGACGTTAGCTTTTGGCTTTTGCAGCAGACACTAGTACAGTACGTAGTTACGTTCCATCGAATTAGTTCGTTCCACTTTCATACAATTTAATGTAACCTAATCTTGCTCGTCTTTAGAAATCAAGAGTACGATCATCCATATCGACTTTGATGTTCTAACTTACATAAGAAAGTTAAAGAGTGCTGATCAACAAAGATTGGTCTGAAAAAGATACCTGATTAATGCAACAAGATCATTGGTTAAACACGAAAAGATCGACCTTAAAATTGAATGATATTATTATACCCAACCAAACAACAATAAATTTTGGAGCCAATGGCAATAATTAATTACGATAACAAAAAGACAACAAATCTAAAATAAATCAAATAAAGTCTCGCTTTAGAAAAAGACACACTATTTCCTTCTGTAGTCTTATTTAATCATCAATCAAACAAATAAGAGAAAATGTTAAAGAAAATGAAACTCCCATTTGTTAACAAGAACACTTCATCTTCATCATTTTCTTCAAATTCATCGTCTTCTTGCTCCTCATGGCTATGGCCTTTTTGCCATCAGCAAAAACATAAAACAATATCTTCCGGTGCTTTTTTCACCGTTAACAAACCTACAAATCTCGAAGAACTCGAGCCACCTTCACGCGGCTCCCCTTCCTCCACCGACGTCACTGAAAATCCACCGGAGATATTAGAGTGTATGGAAAATGTGATTAGAGGACTAAAATCATCAAAAAGACTCATATTTGAACGTAGAGGAAAATCAAACTCTATACTTGAAGAAGCTACTAAGAGGGAAGAAGAAGAAGAAAGCTTTATGCTCTTGTCCTTGGAATCAAACGATCCTTACTCCGATTTCAAGAGATCCATGGAAGAGATGGTTGAAGCACGTGCGCTTCATCACGACTGGAGAAGCCTGGAGAAGCTTCTTTTCTTGTTCTTGAAAGTCAACGTCAAGACAAGCCACATATACATCTTCGCCGCCTTCGTCGATTTGCTTTTAAACTTGGCAGCAGGATTTTCGAAAGACGTCGCCCGAGAACCTCGTTCCGACCTCGTCGGGGAATCTCCGTCGTCGCCAAAATCGTTTTACACTTTGTACCCGGCAAGGGGCTTGCCGGGGAATTCGATAGGTGAGAAGAATAGGAACGTTGTTTGTTGTTTATCGTCGTTGTTTGAGATGGAGGAGAAGATTAAAGACATTTGATCATTCATAATTATAGTCATAGGAACAAAAATAATAGTCATAGATGTCGATATTGTAGATGCTGGTAATCATTTACACGTAACATTTTTTGCACGTGGCATATGCAGAAGAACGCATGGTATGTATATAGTTTGTTTGTTATTTTTCTGCTCCTTTAGGCGTCTTTCCTGGCTTACTAAGATAGTGTACTTGATGAGCCTTCGAATAGTATTTGTCAATGAAGACTACTAAATGATTCAATCTGACTGGGTGAGTATCCTCCTCAATAATAACATGTATGAAAAAGGTTAATTCGTCCAGTGACATTGCATCATACCAATAGATTTTCATCCAGAATTGTTTCACAAAAACCTGATCGACTTCGACTAAGGAGCTGGTCCGAAGAACATATAGTTTGTAGATTCAATGATTGAACCCCACATATAGAATGGATTTAATTGTAAATTAAGTTAATATATTGAAAAGTAAAACTAGAAAAAGTCATTTTAGATATAATTAGCAAGGCAAACATTATACTGTATATATGAATTTTGTGCAAATTAAGTTCGATTATTTTCATGATTTTGATGTATCAAAGTTTTAAACCGTAAACAACATTATCACAAGTGAATGATTACCATTTAAGAATCAAATCCACGAGAAAAAAATGAGTAAAAATGTTTTTTTTTAAAAATAATTAAGCTAAAACAACGATTTTTATGATTTTTCTTAAGTCTAATAAACTAAATGCATAAACAAAGAAAATGCATAAACTAAATGCTATAACAAATGAAGGCAATTGTTATTGGTAAATAAAATTATAAACAAAAGAAAAAAATAAGCAAAATATAAGCAAAACATAAGCAAAATATAAGCAAAAAATAAGCAAATAGCAAACAAACAATAAGACTAAGCAAAGACAAGTAATCATGATCATGAGAAAATATTGAGAACATGCACACCCACCCAAATTGAAAATTTCTGGAAGTAATTAATACAAAAGTTCTACCCAAATTTCATTAATCGAGAGTAATTAATTAGTCTGAAATATACATAAAAATAAAACCATAAATTATCTGAAAAAATTATATAATTGATAAAAAACATTATCTATATGACATAATAACCTAACACATCAAACTTTCACTCTGCATCGTACTTGTTGAAGCGAATCTTCATTGAGGAAGAGATAGAGGAATCCCGGAGATGCATGTCCACCACAGCTCTCTCCTCCTGAGGAGTCCTCTTGTTCATCGTGAGGTAGTGGATAAATTTGAGATCTATCTTCTCAACTAGCTTTAGCAACCATGGCTGTTCGAATCCTACATAGTCCTGTTGACAAAATGAGTAACCCAGTTTCTAATGACTCTTTTATACAATTAGATTAGGACCTTTTTATACGTAGATTTAAAATTTATTGTAAAATTTGTAAAAAAAATTACAAAAAAAAAATTAGTTTTAATTATATTTATCTATTTATATATATTTGTATTTTTAGTTAATATATTTATTAAAATGTGATAAAATTTCATTAATTAACTCAATATTTCAATTATTGTAATTTATTGTGATCTTTATATACACTGATTTATAGTTAACTATTACATAACTTCTTAAAAAAACTGAACATGAAAATATATAAAACAAAATTAAATCAATGCAAATATAAAAAATCAGATTGAGAATATTTTCGTATTACCACTTATGATAGAACTGATTAAATAAACTGGCATTCTCTTTTATTCTATATTTATTTTTTATATTTTTCACAAATATAATTAAATATAAAAAATATAAAACAAAATTAAATCACTATATATAAATAAAAATTAAGATTGAAAAGATTTTTACAAAATTACTTATAAATAAGTGATTAAAGAAACTGGTTTCTTACTTCATTCTACGTTTACTTTTATATAAACATGAAAAATTATAAATATAAATCAATATGAACATATAAAAAAGTAAGATTGAAAATATTTATAAGATTCACAACTATTTTATCTTCTCGTCAATCTTATTTTTACCTAATAATTTGTTCGCAGTAAACTTAAGACCATACGCCTAAGACATACGACAAAAAGTATAGTTATTGACTAGTTAATTCTCGTAAGACATTATAAAAATATATATATATTGTACAGGTACCCCCATCCCATGCCAGTTATTTTCAATTTGCATTTTCAAACAACACTTCTTTCTTTCAAAGATTAAAAACCTTTTTCCTATTTTATTTTTCAAATATATTTTCAATTTGTAAGCATTGTTTATCTTTCAAATTCATAATATGAATTCAAAAATAATACTAAAGATATTCAAAAACGATCACATGTATATATATGTCTGACTACGTCACTTGTTGAAAGGGAAATCCATTAAATTGTTTTATCACTGTTCGAATAATTTGCCTTTTATATGATTCTGTTTTCTTAATTCTCTTTTTTAGTTTGTTAAGTAATTTGTCTTTCCTCTCATCCCGATTTTCTAGTACCAAAAGAATCGGTAAATGTACGCATTTCATTTAAACGGCATAGAACTATCTCATACTTACTATTTTCTCAGCATTAGACAATAAAAATATGTTCAAAGTCATGTACATGACCACCCATAGACTGTTTTCACATGTGATAAGTAAAAGTGATAACTTAAAGAGTTTATGAAAGGATAAAAACATGAGGTCTGCCACACATAGCCTAATTCGTTGCTATTAATCGCTACACTAAGCCGATAAGAGTTACGGTAATACTTTGTCGAACAGTTGACAAATGCTGGCTTTCATCGCTTCTCGCCTCTCCTTGCCGTCCAAAGTTTCCCAAAACTCACCTCTTCTCGACCATTTTCATGGATGCTCCCACGGCTGCTGGTGGCTTACCTCACCAGTCTTTTTCTTGGTTTGACTCAAAACTAAATCAATATACACATGGGATCATGCAGCATTATGTTGTGTGACTTTGCAACACATTGGCTCGAATAGGCCATAGGCCCTCATATATATATGTTTCAGTTTAAGAAACGAAAAAAAGTGTTAACTTCTGAAAATAATATTGTATGCGATTCTAAAAAATATGAATAATATGTATTGCAAATAACTTTTTTGTTATGGTAATGTAAAAAAAAAAACTTTTTACAATAAATGTTTCTAAATCTAAAGTATAATGAAGAATTAAAACCATTTTCAAGGGGAGATTCTAATCCCATCTCTAAACATTAAAAAAATTAAAAAAATATGAAAAAATGTGGAGAGAGAACTAGATTTGGTTCTTAAATAAGAGATTTGAGAGACTATTTGTAACCATTTAAGAGCCTTCTTTCTAAATGTGGCATTATATGATTGGTTTCTTTCCTTTTAAAATTATAATTTGATTATAAAATTAAATTAAATTAATATAAAATTTGTAAGATAACTTATATAGATACTCTCCCGTTGGAAATGCTCTAATAGATTGTGCTATCCAGATTTTGTATAGCTGAAAAAAAAAAGAGAATACAGAGATCGCTTGGCATCTTGTGTCGAACTGGAACCAGACTTGGAGTAGTTCGTTGTAGCTTTGGTCTCCTAGAGTATGAAGATGAGTTTATAACGCACCGATTTGTCCATGTAACTTTTTTTTATTGCCGATATATCATAATGTAGAGTAACTTTGTAAGATAAAAGTTCTTAAGTAGTTCATACGATTTTGTCCATATTAATACTACACAACAATGATTTAATACCAAATAAAAAATAAATAAATTGACGGCGCCTCGTGACATCATTTCCCTTACAAGAACCAAACCAACGCAAACTAGCGAAGGTAAGTGAGTAAACATCGATCAGACACGCGCCAAGCTCGGCCAAAGCATATTACGTGAACCTCAAAAACCTTCACGATTTGTTTAAAGTAAAAGAGCATATTTGAAATCATGAAAAAAGAAAACAGAGATGATGTGAGAACAGTTTTTCAACTATTCTCTCTCTTTCTTTGTTCACTCGATCACTAAGCTCTGAAGATTTTCCGAGGAGAGGGGAAGAGGCGGAGGAGAGAGTCGAAGAAGGCGGTAAAGAGGCGGATGAAAGAGGAGGAGACACGGCAGAGAAATGAAGGATTAGACGAAGGAGTTGGAGTAGAAGGCTGCAGGTAGGCGCAAGCGGCTTGCTTAACAAGGCGGTTGCGGATAGAGATGGTGGGACCTACGACGGAGACGGATGGGGAATCGATGGTGGTGGTGGTGGAAGGGAGGATGTCCTTTAGGGACGTGTAGCATGGAAGAGGATCATCGGAGGATTTGTTGACGGAGACGAGTTCCAAGTCTAGGGTTTGTGAAACGCCACCGTTTCTGCGTTGGAGAAGAGAGAGCTCCATCAAATTTTCAGCATCCATTTGAGAAGAGAGAAGAGAGAAGAGAGAAGAGAGAAGAGAGTGAGAAGAGTTTGGATTTTGGAATTTTGTGGATATGAGCTTACAAGTTATATATCAATAGCGCATTACTTTTTTCTTTCTTTATTTATGATCATCATCATCACGTTACTTTTCTTTCTCTATTAGATTTAAAAGTCAAATAAGAACTATTGTAAAGCGTGTTAATATTGAATTTAATACCGGGACCTTGTTTATCGTCTTTTGTTTCTAATTAGAATTGGAAATTAAAAAAGTATACTACAAATGAAATTGAAAAAGGGGAGATGTAGTAGCAGTGTTAGATGGTTGGGCTGCTTACGCTCCAATCTCGACTACTTTATATTTTTCAAAGAAATACGACGACCATGTTTTATTTTTTTAAGAATGAGTGTTTTGTCTTTTTGTTTAAATTATAAATTCTTTTAACGTTTAAAAATATAGAAAACACAAGCAATGGAATGTAAAGCATTATGAAATGTTTTTTTTTTAAATAATGGTTCCACTTTGAATAAGTTTCCCTAAAGGACACCGACGATATATGACGGCACATATTTCACGTAAATAGTTGAATAAAGAAAGGTCAAAGGAAACATCACAAGAAAAGGGTCAAATAGGAGCGGCTTTGGCTCACTTCACATGAAT